GGTGATATTTACTTTCAAGTATATACTATATAAATTAAACAGTTAAAAGAAAATGTTCCACTTAATATTTAAGTGTTGGAGAACCTCTGTGGATAAAGAAGTAAAAAATCAACACAAATACAGGATTGAAAAAGTAATCAGAACATTCAAATTTTGACTTTACATATACATTCAAATGCAAATACTTCAACCACGAGCATTAATATATGACGAAAATTTGATATGAATTTCGAGAGTATAAAAAAGATGAATGAAATTCTAGTCTATATTCATATTATGCTCCAAGGAAATACTCTGCTGAATTGTATGGTTTAGTTTTCTCTATGGTAAAAAAAAAAGTTAAACACAACCACCTACAAAAGATACACTCGTTGTATAATTAACAGTCAAGTATTTCAATTTTGCTGCAAATATTAAATACTTCTCTCTACTTGATAAAAAATATTTTCATCTACAATTAGGTTTATTTTTTATTTTATTCATAATAAAAAATATAAATGACGAAATAATTCTCTCTTGTAAAAAATAATAAAAAAAATTATATAAGTCTCGTTATTATACTCAACAACAAACAATTTTTTAATACTTATTAATTTACCATAAATTCACATCAGAATATTTCAAAACATATAACCACATTGAACATTATTTTATGATGATTATTGAGATGCAAAGTAGCAATAAATATTAATTTTGGTAATTAAAAACAAGATTGTCACATTAATTTTTAGTAAAAAAAGTTTTTTTTTACTTCACACACTTTTATTTTCTTTTTCAGTGCTCCAACTCTACGTACGTGTGTTACATGGCGAATCTACTTGGTCTTTTCACGCTCTACTTGCATCGTGGCTGCATGGAGTAGAATTAATACCACACATGTGACTATAGATGTTCTATTCACTTAAACCAACTACGCAAAAACTATACGCATATATAATAGAATAAGAATAAAATATACACATGTATTGGAAGTCTCAGACTCGTTAGTAGCCACTTGGTTACACATTGGCTACTAACTAATGATTTGATATAATATCACCTTCACTTGCCACATCAAGATTCTGCACTATTTATTAACATTACACCATATGAAAGGGACAGATAATAGTGATCTACCGGAGAAATTTATAGATGATTAACTTCTATGTGCTAGAGAGACTACCACCAAGAATTTGTATAACGACAGAATGATGAAGAATTTTTTTTAGATTCACTCGACTATGAATTACGTGGACCCGTCCGCCTTAGCCCCGAGTTATGTGAGATTGGACGGTTCTTAAAGACCAGCAGGACTTGAGAAGAAACGCCGAGATGACGAGTCTACTGCAGCTGTTACTATGCACTAGTATATACAAGTTGTTTTATGCTTAGTGTCTATCAAAAAAGTTGCATTTAAAATACACAACCTTTTTTAATAATTATAATAATAATATATAATTGTGCCTTTATGATTATTAAACATGTGAATGGATGATAAATTTTTTAAATTATACATAAAGTATATTCAAAAAATAAGTTTTAATAACTATAATCACTATAAAAGCATTATAATGATAGTTATTTGTTCTCAGAATAATCTCATTTGTTTCCAGATTTTATCTAGACTATTCCAAAACGGAATTTTTTGTCTTCACTATTACATATTAATTTTTATGAGAATAATCAAGAAAATATTATTTAAAAGGTAAAATTGATTTTTTACTCATTTTTTTAATTACCAGTTAAAAATTTGTATTTTAGTTGTTATATTTAGTATAACAAAGTATATCAAGCATTTAAATAAACTCCCAATAAGTTTATGTATATTTTCACAGGGTTTTTTTTTTACCAACAATTTCCAGATAAAAAGTTTTCCATTATTTTCAGTGATTTTAATTAAACATGGAAAATTTACTAGTTAATATTAACAGTGTATTTAAATAGAATTTAATCTGTTTTATGGTACTTTCGTTTTCATAAATAGAAAAAAATACATTTTGTTAGAGTATTGTTCATTTTATAAAAGAATAGAAAATAATTATTAAAAGGATGCTGAATTTTGTAGCTTTAATTAATTATAATGGACCATTTTTATATTCACGAATGATATTTTTATTGAATAATATAATTCTTCCTTTCAATTTAAAATGAAAATTCCTCTATTCTCTTCTTTTACTGGAAAAAATATTTTTTTTGAAATAAAAAATGAATTTTTTTATATCCAAGTATTTTTTCAGGATTCATGTTCATGTAATAAAGTTATTTATGGAAATTAAAGTTAACATTATTATTCCGTTAAAAAAGGTAATATGCAATTTATAAAGGCAGGCTGCACTTTTATTATTCATTTCAAATCCATCTATTTAAATTCTCATCAACCTGAATGCCTCATAACAGTGCCTACATAGTTTTCTCGCGTGACAATTGAACATGTTTGTCCTTTCAAATTGGGTTCAACTGTATTTTTTCAGGACAAGTACTGGTCGGCCACCTGTCGTCTTGTATATATAATTGTGCAAGGTGTAATTAGCGAGACACCGTTCAACTACGTCCGAGAATCCACATGAGTCGTAGTCACGTCGATATACAAGTATAGCAGCAAAAAGACCTATGAGGATCCCATGAGAATCATTCTAAACACTAATTGACATTAATGTTACTACTTTTCTTATACATGTGTTTAAATAAACATACGAGTTTTATTTACTTGACAAAATTAAAGGCAAAGTTTGCCGGAAGATTCGCAGAAAAAATACATAAACTAGAAATTCGACAGCAGTCAATGTGAGAATACATAAAAAATTGTTGACTAGTTTGAATGTATTTCCCAACATACTTCTAAATATAATCTAATTTATAGAGATATTATTTACTCGATATTTCCCAACGGATTTAGGCAAAAAATATTTCGAATCCTGTGGGAAATGTACGTAAATCATGATGACCTACAAAAAATTATAACTAATTATAAAGTTCTTTGGTCTACTGAAAATTTTATGGAGTCAAAATGAAACAAAATCATTATTTAAAATTGAAGCTGAGAATAAAAAAGTGTCAAACTAAAAATTAGTTTATCTATTGTGGATATTAAAATCAATATTGTAATTTTCATGACATGTACTAGAATTTTGACACACAACTTTATCCCTATATTTCAAATTCATGTTTTTGAAAGAGAATGAACGTAAAAAAAATGTTTGTTATTGTAACAACATATTAAAAAATTTTTTAATTTAAAATATAAAACAAAAAAAAATTATGTACACAGATCGCGACATTTAGATTAAAAGTAAAGTTCTCCATGGTAACACACATAAGTATTCAGAGTTAAAAAATTCCACTAATAAATTCATGAGAAAAAAAAACAAAATACAATTCTTCTTCAATTATTCAAAAAGCCATTCCTTGTTGAAATTAATTTTTTATCTTTCATCAGTGTAAGAAAAAATGATAACCAACCGTAGAGCTTATTAATTGATCGCTAAATATAGATTGAAAATGATAGGAATGACCACTCTGCTCGATATAATATTCGACAGGTAATATAAAATGACGTAAATCTTCGTGTAAATAATAGAAATGGGAGTGATCCTAATATGGTAGCAATAGCAATCAATATGTGTACATAAAAGTAGTTGTGCTATTTGTTCGTATTAGTATTATTTTAATAGAAGGACGAATGCCTTCACTATAATTTGAAGAGTGCCGTAACTTCTAGGAATTAAAAGAAGACTATTGTAACGATACTGATTTTAAAACTGAAGAAAAAAAAATAGATACAAAACGATGAGTGAACTGAAGCAATACTTGAAGTAGTACTGTTTATATACATTTTATTCTGTTTAGCTAAGGTTTAGCAAGAATAAAGGAGAGCGAAAACGGAATCGACAAGAACAGACGTGTACGGTTTTGTGTCTTGAAGAGTTTAATCTGATTTTATTTCTCCACTAGAAAGAAGAGAAAGAAGAGAAAAAATTTGAAAACCGGTTTTTACAGACAAAAGAGTGACCGACGTCATTACGCACCAGAGCAAGACGATTATCATCCCTTTATGGTAGTTAGTCAAAAAGATAATAATACGAATATGGATTAATTATCCCACGGTCACTCTTCACTTCTAGTCACATATCTGCTCCATAAGTCATCTAATGTGCTCCGAAAAAAGACTCAACGCAAAGGTATTTAACCAAAGGCCTTTGCCAATTATTATTTGATTTCATTAAAATAAATTGTTTTCTGCTATGCCCTATGAAAGGTTGACGAATTGGAATTAATTAATTGTTAAAGTGGAAGTATGTATTGTTTGTCGCAAAAACATTAGCAATAACTTAGATGTATATATGTAGTGATCGAAATAAAAATAACTCATCGAGAAATTAATTAAACATAAAATATATGAGAGCATAAAATAAACTACATATGCCTCTACTACTGTAACACCACTCACCCAAATTCCCAATTGCGTTTACCATAACGTAATTCTCACTAATCCGCACGAATGCATTCGAATTGATAACGTGGACATTGGAACAACCTTCTCTCTCAATGCCCTCATTGACGATCCTTTAACTATTTGATCCGAGATATCCCTTGTCGCTTATAAATAGCACGAATGAGTGAACCGTGTTTCAGAAAATCATTTCTCATATTTGCACTATGTTGAGACCAAACAATACTCACTTTCTGTTTGTTCATATTGTGGTACTCAACCACGTGTTCTCAACTAACCGAATAAAATAAAATATTCCCGACAACTCTACTCAGCCAATTTGTATACATAATATATATTTCAAATAATTATTTACATTCTTATACTATATTCATTGCCAATATAACGGAGTTTTTCCGTTTTATGGAGTAATAGCTCTTTTAGTAACACTCCATTTTTATCATCCGATATTATTTTTATTATTACCGGCTGATTTGCTCCGATTTGTATAAACAACAATCAAAATGGCAGAGATCATGCAAGTGTCGATGACAGCTAACCGACAGCGAAAGAAAAAAATTCGTCAACTTACCGGAGTTTTGGAGCTCCATCCGGCGTCCTCTAAAATAAACGTAATCCAAAAAAATTCACTTTCTTATACGTCAATTATAATAATCTACACAATTTCTTTAACCACTGTTCACAAACACTACAAATGAGAACCCTTAACTTCAAGTATTCAAGACAATACTCGATTCTCAAACACGCGTTCGTCGATCTCTGAAAGATCCTTGGAATTTCTTTCAACTTTTTATGTATACTTAAATTATTATTCTTACAATACAAGCATATCTATTGGCTTAATATTCTCATTAAATATATCCAAATATTCAAAATTATGTATTCATAAACAATATAAAATAGTAAATACCACACACCCACGAGAAGGTTAAGTCAACTCACACATCGCGTCACCCAGTAAACTACAACGGTTACGAGCGAGCGCCAAGCCGAAACTGGCGCGCTGTATTGCTCGCGAGAAAGGCGAACCTACGCGCCCCCACTCTCTCTCGCCGAAGCTGACGATGTCAGTGCGACGTTCAGACCGCCATACCTTCCCTTCCCCCTTGACCCCTACTCGATATATGTAGTATTCTCATTCTATTTTGCAAGATCCTCGGCCTCAGAACATTCTGATTTCATACCTTTCGTACATACTTTAAGGTGCGTATAAAAACCTCCTTTTTTCTTTGTTTTAAATTCTTTTTCACGTATTCGTTACTTTTTAGGTTAAGCGTCACTGATGAATTGACTTTCGATCATTGCAAATTCACAATGCTAATTTGCTAATTCAAGCGGTTACTTTGACGTATCAACAAAACAAGTAAGTGTATAAATGATTGTTTTAATTACATTAAATGAACCAATTTAGGTAATTTTATTTATTGGTTTATTGAAAGTTAAAATTAATGATAGTTGTTAACTATTTATATTTAAAATAATGTTTAAAAAACTTTTTTTTTAACCACAGAATATAAACTCAATATGTCTGTTATTTTTTATTAAGATAAAATTACTTCCATTAATTCTCTTAAATTTGGGAAATTTATTCAGACGTAGTGAGTAAATATTGATGACAGAAATGAAAATTAATATATATATTAATACAATTTTTAATTTAATGTTGCTCTGATAAATATTCAAAACTGAATTTATAAATGAATATAAGTATCACTAGTTACACATCAACAGATATTAATTAATAATCAAAATGTATTATATTTATCTAACTTCATGAAATTGTCATAAAATATCAAAAAGTGATTGATTTCCAACTTGTTGATAAATTCAATGGAAATATACTCTTGTTCCATTGGAATCAGATGCGAAAATGAAGAAAAAAATTCAATAAAATATTTAGTATGCTAAACCTCTTAAAAACAATTCAGAAATACTCAAAAACTATCAATAAGATTTTATTTTTATCAGGCACTTACTGAGCCATCATCCTAAAGAAAAAAAATTACAGCACATACACCCTGCAGTGTTGAAAGCAAATTTTATTTTTCGTTGATTTTCTGAGAGCTGTTGATCAGAGCCAAGAGCTTTAAGTTCTTGACTCGAAATGTTCGGTCACACTCGAACGCTCCCTTGAAACTTTTCGAGGATCCTACTACTCTGTTGCTCGATTTCCCAACCATGACGACATCAACAGACAGACTTAAAGTCCTGATTTATGCCAATCGCCTCTAGATTTTCGCTACTATTGTGATTGTGATTATTATTTTAATTACTTCACAATAACTATTGATTTGAAACTTTAACATTATAATTCAACAAAAGCTTTATCAACAAGATTTAACTTTCACCAACTTGAATATACATAATTAAACTTAAACATTCATTAATCTTAATACTTCAATACATAGTTGAACGTTGAAAAATAATAACATTAATGAATGATGCAAATTATTTCATTAATTGAATGTCATACTAATTTATACAGGTTTTGTCAACAAGTTGATGAATTTCTATTTCATAATTTAACACCTGTATATATATAGTTGATAACGGATGTTGCAAACAAAACAGCGCATTCAAGATTCATAGACAAACATGATATTTTATTTTCAAATACGTATATCAGATGGTTCACTGAAAATAAACATTATCAACTAATTTTCTATTATGATTTGAACTACAATTCCAACTTTTGATGTGCTCTTTAAATTTTATACATTACATGTGAATATTCATCTGAACTCAACTGTACTTTAATGATAATTAAATATACATGATTACTTCAACCTTTGTTTTAATAGTAATTAGCTAATCAATCATCAAAGCTCGGGATATTACATCACGCGAAATTGAATGAGACATCAGGCATTTATAGAACATTTATAGTATTATTTATTTGATTGGATTATTTAATGAAATTGAGATTAGTTCTGTTTTGCTGAGTTGGATAATGGAAAAGTATTTTTACCTTTTAGATTTGAATGAATTACAATTAGAAGTGATGAGAATATTGAAACTATCGAAACGTTTATCAATGAAATTAGTGTCTGAATTAATTGAAGTTCATCTTTAGATTGAAGAATGAATAAGTAAATTTTTTTAATTGATTGATGCTGATAGAATATTTTAATCTCATTCTGCTATATAGATTATCAAAGCTGCCAAGTTTGTTAATATTCCTGAAACAACAAAAAATAGAACTCATTAGAATTTGACCACAAGTTGTATAGAGCTCAAGGACTAGGATCAATAAGAGTATAGAAGTGGTTCCTCTTAGAGATGAAAGTGAAAGTTTGCCTAAAATTTCAACTTCACTGGTTTCTGCTGATCAATATGTCAAGTTTAATGTTTCATAATGTTCATGGTTGCTTTAATAATTAAGCAGGTGTTTTCTGATTCTTAGAGTAGGAACACTTGTTCATATTTTATCAGCTTTATTTTTAGTAAATACATAAAAGTAAAGTACCGTTTATTTGTTAATAGGTGAATCAATTGTGAGAGTTTCATATAATAATGTAACCATCTTTATTCTAGCATATCATTATTAAGGAAACATTAGAGCTTATTTAATATTAAACTCCAAATGGTACTTCATTTATTCCATGTGAAATAATTCGGGAAAATGTGAGAAACATCAAAAGACCAAGTGAAATACAAAAAATGACCCACTTTAGGAAACTACTTTAGGAAAACCCTGTTTAACTATTACAGTAAACCTGAATGTTATAAAATATCAAACTTAGTATGCTGAGAAGCAAAAAAGCAGTAAAGTTCAAATTTTAGACCAACTTTCATTTTTACCTTTCAAAAAGACTACTCTAATGTGTTTATCGATTCCGGAGTTTTATTTTTAGTCAAATAAATAAATACATGAATAAAGAATAAAAGAGATAGAATATTCGTTGAAAAAATCAAATTGCATTCTGATCTGGTATGGTTTTGTATTCAAATCAGATTGGTAGAATTCATTGAAATACTTGGAATCTTCTATTGCTTTAAAATGTATCATGTGGTGATAAATTCCCTGAATTTTCACACTTTTATTGCGAAAGAATTAAAAGTAGAAATGAATGATAATTGAGTTAACTTGTTCTTTATTTTATAATGAACTCATTGGAATTAACCTGTTCACTGATTTATTTTAATTCCTGACCATCATCAATGCCAACTAGATTTATACACATTCCAAACTGTTATTTTTTATAAAACATTTGCAAATTACCCACAATCTTCTTAGTTAAAAAAAAAATGAACATTTTTGTTCATTTGTACTGATTTATTGCTATTATTAATACATTCTTCTAGACATTGATCTTGGTGAATCTGAATTTAGTGATGACTTTTCTCTTTTCAGTTATCTTAAATTTTAGAAATCCAATAGAATTGATAAATCAAACTTTTGGGATAAGCTCTAAAACTTTTGTACATAAAAAAAATTCTTACGTTTTATTTCAGAATTTAATATCTATTATGATTATTATTGAAAATAGTTCAATATATTGAATTTTGTTGGAGGTATGAACAAAAAGTATCTTAAGGCTCATAAATCTTTGTATGACCACCTGGTATGCTGAAAAATGGTAACTGAGTCGCACCAAAATAATAATAGAGTTTATAATAATAAATTAACAATTGTTAACAATTATAAATTTAAAAAAAATTGATAGTCATCTCATTTGGATCATCAACAATTTGATAAAACGAAATAAAATGAATTTGACTTTAGATAGAAAAAAACATAACTTAATAAATCAATATCAAGATGCTTGATGTTGAATAAAGAACCTATTTATTCATTTTTATTTGGTGTGTTGCCAATTGGAGTCCTAAATAATTCAAGAAAATAAAAGCTGAAGAAAGAATTTTTTTATTTACTCATACTAGCAAGAGAAAGAAAGAGAAAAACGGAAGAAGCAAAAAAAGAAATTACCTTATTTGTATTTTTTTTTTAAAGAAAAAACTAGGACAAATAGCTTTTTTAATGATAAAAATTTTCACAATTTCAGAGACTTTAATATAAATTTGTGTATTGATTTACTTATTCCAAGTTTAATAAAATGAGTTATTAAGAGACTACCTTTAGATGTCGTGTAATAAGATTTTAGAACTCATTTGGATCTGCGATAAAATGATGAAATCATGAAGAGTCTTTCTGGCCTAGTTTTCTTCACTGATTCAGAAATGACAGAACAATTAAATTAATTAGATATCTTCCAACATTTAAACTGCAATGATAATAAAAATTTTTTGAAGAAAATTTTTTTTTAGATGAACAAAATCTTGATAATTTTTTGGCTGACATTTTAATCAACTTTTAATTAATCATCAATTATAACATTTACTTTCATATTTGTTAAAATTATATTTCAAAGTATTCAAGATCACCATGGAATATTTTGAAATTTAATACATTTGAGCACAAATATCTAAAATTTGATCATGTGAAATAAGTTGAGAAGATAATCAGAATAAGATAACTTTATGACATAGAATAGTCCTTAAAAAGTTTCCAAAATTCGTATACTTATTTTTAAACTTGCATTCTTATTCAAGGATTTGATTATTGATCTAAAAGGTTTGTTGAATTCAAAAATATGATCAGATTATTCAAAAAGCTTGAAACGATATTGTGCTATTGAATAATTTATAAATCAAATCTATTAGAAAGATAATTTGCTCCAACTTCTTCAGCATAGGATAAGTCTTAAAAGAGTTTATAAATTTAATAACATATTTTCATCCAATCAAGCAAAAGTTCTTGAAAAGTATCTACTTTTGATGCTTATATTATTTGGGATTAAAATAGGCAGAAATAAAACATTTTCACCCCATTAACTAGATACTGCAAACATTTCTTAGGTAGATAAAATGGAGAATAATAGTATACATTTATTTTTACTAGAAATTATTACGACATTTTTCAAATGAAGATGTTGGTTACATTTGCTAATTTTGAGTAATTATTTTCTGCCAATAACGTAATTAATAAAATACACAAGACCTAAATGAAATCGTGGTCAAGATAAGAATGATTAATAGTAAATTTAGAAGCAATAAGCAAAGTACTGACAAACTACGTACATTAATATAGCTAATTAGATTTTACGACAGGCTGCCAGAGTTAATACGATCAACGGATCAGTTTCCCATTAATATGTCCTATCACTTTGATGCTCAGATATCTACACACCAGCTAATAAATTGAAACGTACTTAATTCGTGGTTATAGAATTACCCAAATTATAATCCTCCACTTGACAGCTAAAACCTAAATACCCTAATCTCTCACCACCAATCCTTTTTTCTCTATCACTTTTCATCATTCAGACACTTTCACCCTGCAAAATCTCATCATTTGATTCT